TGTAGGGAAGGGGGCAGCTGGGCAGTGCAGTCTGCCCATGCCCCCACTTTCGAGATTTTTAGATGCCTAATTCATGGTTCAATATAATACACACATTTCTTTCAGGAGTGGGTGGTTTACCATGTTGGGCAGGCTCACAGAAGGATGTGCTCTCCCAGCCTCCTCCAGGTACTGTTGGGAGGCACTGACCAAACCACATGGGTGATTTGCAGGGCTGTGGAAGGGGCCTGACTCAGTGAGGAGGGGTCTTGGCCTCATCAGTGCCTGCTGCACTAAAATGGCTGGATAAAACGCAATCACTTGCTTCTGCTGGCTGCAGTTTCCACAGCTGAACACATCTTTATCTGCCTCTATATTTCAGTTGTGACTGAGGAGAGGTGCTGTTTCACATGTATAGCATCGATACTTAAAAACTGCCCTTCTTCAGTCTTTCTTAGTAGGAGAAAAGACCCATAGAGTGTGAGCATGAGTGTCATGGCAGGGCCCTGCCTGCAGCCCTCGCACAGCCAGCCTTTTTTGCTCTTAGCACAGAACTTGCAATTCTGGCTCTGGCAACTTGGTGCAAGTCAGTGTCAGCAGCTTTGGCTGAGTATCTGCACTGCTCAACTCTCCTTTCTCTTGCTGGAAACACACACACACAGTAGGAGGTGTGTGCCTGGCCCAGGAGCCCTGCTGCTGGCACAGGGAAGGAGCCGGGTCAGGAAAGAACAGGGAATCCAGGAACAGGGAAACTGGCTACTCTGGTCTACAGCAGAACTAAGACGTTCATATAAGTACATCATAAACATCATAATCTGTCCCTCATTAGACACTCAGTTTCTGCTCTCTGGGACACAGGCTGCCTGTAAGAGCTAAGCATTTTCAGTTTGTCAACTCAGGGTTGCAAGCCTCAAAATACCATTCCTGCCAGGGGAACCCATTGCCATTGTCTGCCATTGCCAGACCTAAAAAGAAAGGGCAATACCCTACCTCAGCATCAATCCAAACCCTGCAGTGCTTTTCCCTGCTGCCACCAGTGACAGCATCAAGATATACTGCATTTCTTCAGATAAATAAAGCAAAAAATAAACCAGGTTGCTACCCAGCGACCTGGGGCCTGAAGAAGCTCTGCTTGATGGCAATAAAAAAATGTTGCTTGTTTTTGGTGGAAGTCAGGAAAAAGGCCAGTTGTACTAAGAACAGCTTTCTGCTGAGGCCCCCTCCATAAGTTTATGACAGAATTGTATGGTGATGGAGAAGAAATCACTTACCTTAAGAAGATAAGACAGAGTAAAAAGAGAAGATGGATTTTGGTGTGATGAGAACTTAATCTAGGTAATTCCAGTTAGTCTGGAAATTCCAAAGTCTGGTAACAGACAGACTTTGGGAGGTGGTGAGAGAAACCCCTTCTTCCCATTCTGACAGCTCTTCCAGAAGGTTTTATCAAGTGGATGATCATGAGGGTAGAAAAGACCTGCCCTGTGCCCCTAGCATGGCTGTGTGACATGGTGAGCAGCAAAGTGTAACCCCAGACCAGAACCTCGTGTTCAAAATGCAAGTCCCCTGCTCTGGCCTGGGGACAGAGTCTTGGTTCTTCACTTCCAGGAGACTGAGTCTCTGCAGGCTGAGAGCATCCTCAGCAGAGAGCAGCCACACAGCACTGCCCCCCTGGTCTGCCCCACAGCCCTTCTGTGCCAACCTCGCGCTGTCGTCGTGGCAGCCACAGGGCGCAGCTTTCCGACCACTTCCACGGTCAACCAGTCTGCCTGTAAAACGTATGGCTGTAAAAGTGGAGCCGATGACCAGACTCTCAGTGTGGTTTACAGAACAAGTTTCGTTTACTTCAGTTCACAAAGTAAAGCCACCAGCTTTAATTGTCCTTAAAAACAAAAACAGCTGGGGAAGTGCATGATTCAGAGTGGCTTGGTACAAATTTTTGCAAAGTAACAGACACAAAATTAAAATAATTCAAATTATACATAGATGTAAAACACAAAAACATTCAAGTTAAAACCAGGACTGGATTCCTATTAGCCCTAGAGATGATCCAAGAATACGTCAGGAAATAAATACATCATTCTAGTTTTCACCATAAAAGAGGGAGCTGCTCACTAATCCAAATGGCTTGGGTATTTACAGAAGGCAAATGGTTAGAGGAGAAATGCAAGAATGAAAAGTATTCTCATAAGAGTGAATTGAAATACTCCAGGGTGATCACTTCCTCACATGCCCCACTGTGACTAAGAAAAGGCTTTAAATCAATGGAAGGGGCCAAAGAAACCCCTTTTGAGCAGGATGGCATGATCTGCCCCACACTGGAGGGACCGTGCCAAGCTGAGACCAGCATGGTCTACTGGGTTTGGTTGTCACCACAGAGATTCTGAAGCTCCACCACAATCCATGGCCAGCCTGGGAGAAATGACAACAGAGAAGTTGGCCTGGTCAGTCCAATTTATGAACAGGAGGGCAATTTATCCTAGAATCCATCTGACGGGAAGACTGCTTAAAGCCACATCTTCCTGGCCTCTGCTGGACTGTACATGCTGTGAGCAAAAGGCAGTCAGCACAACTAAATCTCTGTTCTTCAACATGTAAACACAGCTGGTGATCAGAACACTTGTCATTTCCACAAAGGCCAATAGCTAGGATGCCTTAGGTGACTGCAAGAAAAAAAGCAGGTTCTTTCAAGTATCTCTTTCAACATCTGCAAACCACAGGATACAAAGCAACACGCTCATTTACAAAGGCACTGTGACTTGTACTCACTGCTGGTATTTCTCATGCTTTGTTACCAAATAACCACCTGCTTTCTTTTTGCTGAACATGCTACTAAGGTCAAATCCTGACAGGTCAGAGCTGCATTTTTGGTGAAGCCAGTGAAGGAGACGATGCTTAATACCCAACAGAAGCAGGGCAAATTCTGCAGTTAATGTCACAGCATGCAAAAAAAACATCCTGAAGGCTCATCCTAACCTTCTGTTTCCTTGTCAAGACAGATTTATTCACAGTCAATACCACAGGGAGTAGATTCAAGTGGCAGTGGTGTTATATCCATAATTTAATGGGATTTGACATTTAAGGCAGCATTTCAGTTCACCTCTAAGCCTGTAATTACACTTGCAAATCTGATTAGTAAGGCATCAGCAGAGTAACCCAGGGGACTTCTCAAACAGATTGGTTCTGTTCCTGTAGAAGCAACATTTGAGTACCAAGTAATGCTACAAAGCAGACACTGCAGACTGCAGTGCCTGACACACTCACAAACTGGACCCACTCCTAATCTTCAAAATAAGAACAAAAACGAAGACTGCAAAGAGCCCTCGCTCTCTCTCAAAAGCAACACTGTGCTGAGTCAGATACCACAGGAGCATTTCATGAGTACACTACTGAGACAGGACTCCTCTCTACACCCCACTGGTTATCTCTGGTCTCACAACTTGAGGCTGTTACCCCCTGTCCTGTCACAAGGTATGAGGGAGAAGAGACCGACCCCTATCTCACTACAACCTCCTTTCAGGTAGCTGTAGAGGGCCATAAGGTCTCCTCTCAGCCTCTTTTCCTCCAGACTAAACAACCCCAGCTCCCTCAGCCGCTCCTCAAAAGACTTGTGCTCCAGACCCTTCACCAGCTTTGTTGTCCTCTGGACATGCTCCAGTGCCTCAATGTCCTTCTTGTAGTGAGGGGCCCAAAACTGAACACAGTACTCAAGGTGTGGCCTCACCAGTGCTGAGTACAGGGACACGATCACTTCCCTGCTCCTCCTGGCCACACTATTCCCGATGCAGGCCAGGATGACATTGGCCTTCTTGGCCACCTGGGAACACTGCTGGCTCATGTTCAGTCGCTGTCAACCACCACCCCCAGGTCCTTCTCCTCCAGGCTGCTCTCCAGCCACTCCTCCCCAAGCCTGCAGTGCTGCATGGGGTTGTTGTGACCCAAGTGCAGGTCCCAGCACTTGCCCTTGCTGAACCTCATGCAGTTGACTTCAGTCCGTAAGTCCCAGAGCAGCCCAAGGATGAAATTCTGTTCCTCACCTCCTACTCTGGCATCAGTCTCTTGCATAAGTACAGACTCTGCCCAACAACTCCTTTCCAAAGAAATTCAGTAAGATTTCTCCTTTCATTGTAGCCCTACCACCACTGAAATTTTGAGAGCAAACTGATGCCAAATGCCAGGATACTCAGAACTATATTTTGCCCCCAGTTTACACACCTACCCCTCCTTTGTACCCAGTTTACACCACCACCCCCAAAGATATGATTGGAACCAAATAAAGTACTTAGCTGGGACTCCATGTATACTCAATTCTCTTCAGGTCTGGGGACAAAAGTAAAGGATCTCTTTCTCTCGCAAGCCACTTAAGCAGATCTTTCTGCAGGATGGAAATGGTTTCATCCCTGAGTTCAACTTTAAAAGTGAAAAATGCTGCCCTCAGCCATCACCACCCTAGCACGAGGAGCAAACAGAATGTTCAGCACAGAGCAAACAAGCAGCACAAGGCTGGGAAAGATGGAGAAAAGGAGAAAGAGGCTAATTTGAATCATACCAAAGAAACACAAGGAAACCTGATGCCAAAGAGTTTGGACTAGTAAAGGAAGAAAGCTTAGAGAAAGTAGACTGCGCTGTTCAACAGTGAAAACTTTGCAGCCCTCAGTGCTCATCTGGGAGCAGCCTGGTACCTCCACAGACAGGCAATGACCTCAGACAGGCAAGAAAAACAAATCTAGAGAGCATTCCCAAAGAGACGTAAGATCCCTCAAGGCCATTCCAATGACGTAAGCAAGATTCCATTTTTTCTCTTTTTTTCCCAGCAGGGATGACATGAAACTTTGTCCAGCTTAGTGCATACAGTTCTCTTCTCAGCAAGACTTCTAGCTGACCGATGTGCAGGCCAGTTCTGCAGGGTCCTGCCTACTTGCTGCCATGACTTCCTCTGGCCCATCGGCAATACTGGGCTCACTGGAGCACTGCCTGTGGCTAAAACTGGGCTGCAGGAGCAGGCATTTGTCAGTACTGTCTGATTCCTCAATCACCATTCCTGTGTGCATCATGGAGGCCATCGCCAGGAGCTGAATATCTGAGTGAGCATTTGCAACAGTGTGACGACGGATGCTACCGCATTTCTCCAGATAAGCCTCACCCTCCTGCTCCGTCAGTGGGGTCAGAGCCATCTCACTGGGCTGCTGGCTTGTCACCACGTGAGATGAATAATTCAGGACGCCAGTCTTAGAACGGGATCTGGAGTACCGTCTCTCTAGAAGAGAAAAAAGGAAGCAGGAACAGTCAATAGGGCACAGACGAAGCATCACCCAAACTGCTAGGCTCGCTTCAGGGAACAGAAAACCCTCAGCATGCAGCCACAGAGCATCCCACCTCGTTACCATTGGGGAACAGTCAGGTGCTCATCAGTTCATACTGCAAGGTTTTGGAAAGGAGGTCTGCCTCTCCCCCTGGTGAAGAGACACCTCCCATCCCGCTGTAAGGCAACGGTGCTGCTGCCTGCGAGAAAAGCTACCCAAAAAGTAATGAGTGCGGCAAAGGGACTTCCTTCAGCATCTTGATGGTCTCCTCTCTTATCCAGGGGTTGAGGACCAAGTAGGAGCTCTCATGTGCAGGTTCACCAAAATTAGTGACACTAAAGTAGCACAAGTCCCCAGAGAAACATTCAGTGAGGACCTGAGTTGCCATCCCTTTCTCTGGAAAACTTCTCTCAGGAGATGCTGTTAGCTGATGTCAACATGAAATTCCTGATGCTTACATTGCTCTGCCTCTCCAGCAGCCTACAGAAATGCAGTTCTGCTAGCATTATTGCACTGTATTTTTTAAAGATTATGCAAGAAAAATAACTTTAAACATCCACTTCAAAACATGTTTGGTTGTGGGGCTAGACACTGAAAACACCTAACAGTGCACAGCAACCACCCACAGCAGCCCGGGGACCAAGGGAGCAGAAGAGGAAGGCAGTATTGGTGGATCACGCATGAAGGCAGTGACATAAAATAGATGAGTGCAGGGTCTACAATCTGCTTGGCAAGAACATTAAGGGGGAAAAATGCCTGGTTTAAAACTCAAACCCAAGGTGCAGTCCCCAGCCCCGTATCATGAAGCACCATCTCAATTTTGGCACTGAAAACTTTAAGAAAAGCAGGGGTCTGAGTTTGTGCCTTGGCTCGCTGTGATTCACTCCCCTAGCAGCTTGAATCAGTCAGTATTACTTTTCAACTGCTGTCTTCCACTGCTGTGCAGCATTGCCATGTGGTGTCAAACACCCCATGAGGTCTATCCCAGCAGCAGCTGAAAAGCTATTCCCTACCTGTCTGTTTCTCACTAACTTCCTTGAAGTGCAGGGTCTTACTTAATAAAGTCAGAAGCCTTTAGACCACAGAAATTACTTTCACCAAGACTGCAGAGCATAAGAGATAGAGTAACAAAATACAAAGGAAAGCCCTCATTACTGAAGGTTATAAAAGAGTTTTGGAAGCTTGCATCAGGAAGAAAAGCTGAAAACAAACTATACTGTTTCAGAGAGGAACAAGTGAGCAGCCAAAACCACCACTTGCAGCAGCCAAGCTATGACAACAATTCACTTCACTGCTGCCAGTAATACATTCATTCAAAACAGTTCATTTCATGCTTAAGAGGATATGCACATAATTTTTGAGGCTGGTTGCAGTAAATATATTATTTAGATATCATCTGCAGCTCAAGCCACAGCAAGCTCTAGTGTTGGAGGGCACTGGGACAAAATAATTTAAGAGGGGAGCCACACAAGCATCCTTCCACTCTGCACCCCTCCTTGCAGGTCCGTTGGCAGCGGCAGGCAGGGCAGCAGCAGGTGAGCATCCTTGCGCAGCACCAGCATCACCAAACCCCACGCGCTGCGTTCATGATCTGCTGCTGCCTATATCTGGGTCTTGTGTTACCCTGGCATAGACAAGACCGAAATAACACTGATGTCATTAGCAGTAGCTGCTCCTCCACCTTCACCAGTACTTATCAGGGCTTCTTAATTCCTGACTTCTGTGAACAGAGTGAAGACCGAAAGAGAGAAGCCAGTGTTGGGGGGCAGTTATAAACCTGCAAGGTGACCGACCCAGGCTTTAAGCACGTTCAGGTGCCCATCTCCTGTATACATTAGGAAGTCAGACACCTTTGAGAGCTGTTCAGCTCTTGGGCTGAGAGGAGAAAGAGAGATCAGTAGCCTCTCGAGGTTCATTGCACTACCCCATCCCATGATTTAATATTTACATTATGTCCATCCTGCAGTGGCTTCAGATATGCAGAGGTGACTTAGCTGACTAGAGAGCTCTGAAATAGAACTGCAATGAGCCATGCAAAAGGCTTCCTATTTTTCCAGACTCCACAGCTGCAGATTTTTGTAGGCAAGAACTGAATCTTTGTTCTTCTCTGTTCCTATACAACACGTTCAAAATTAAAACTTGCTTCATTTAAGCAGGGACACCTTGCAGCCCTTCCCAAAAAGCCAGAATACACAGGGGAAAAAAAAATCATGGCCGTGCCCTGATGTTCACTAAATGATAAATAAAAATATTCCTGTGAGAAAAATGTGCCAGTTTTGTGTGTAAACTTTTAGTGCTGAAAGAGACAAGCCTGATGACCTGAGAGGTTAAAGTCCACTAAGAGCAAGCATAATATAGGAAACAATAATATAAAATTACTCCTGCCCAACCTAGTGACCCTGCCTTCATATGAACAGGCAAAGAGATCCTGAGATCCTTTTCTGTCATGTCCTTGGCTGCTGTGGCAAAACGGTCAACTAGTATCATTAGTTATATCAACTACCATGGTAGTTTGCAACCCAGCCAGTATTCCTCATTTCACAGGCTTATACACAATGTATGTACTTGTGTACATGTTTGCGTGGATGCGTACGTACACACACTCACTGACCAGCAGATTGCACTGAGCTGTGACCTGTGCCAGTGTCTCAAAGTCTGCCATCACTCAGCTTTTGGACATAATCAGAACCTGGATGAGGAGACTGTAAAAACTTGCTGGTTTCAAAGGAAACACCAACAGCAATTCAGAAGACTACACTCCCCCTCAGATCTGTATCAGCATGGAAAGAGGAACATTGCACCGCCTCCTGCGTGCACAAATAAAGCAAAGGTCCTGAGCTTGACTATACTGAAGTAGCGACTGTAACCCAGATGCCTTGCAATGAGCTGAGCCCCGAACTGAGCAGAAGGTGCAAACCCACTGAGGAATTTGGAAGGACACACAGGCAGCTGGGGGTCGTGCTGCCACAGCACAGCTGCCATTTGCCTAAATCATGCAGCTGGTTACCAGCATGAGCATATTTATGCTAAAAGTAGACTAGTAGACCCACATTTAGTCAGCATTCGCATGGCATGTTTTTAAGTAGGCAAGCAATCGATAGCAGTTTATTCCCAGTGCATTCTTTAATTTGGAGAAACTAAGCTTTAACTCTTCTCCCTTCTATCCTGTTACAGTCAAGTTGCTACTTTCTGGAAACAGCGGCATTTCACCATACTCTTCTTGTCACCATGATCTTTTGAGATGATAAGGGTGCTGCTCAAACAGGCACTGTGCTTCATATACAGCTGAATGTGAAACACTGTAGTAGATAGCAGAAGAGTTAACCAAAAGACAGAAAAAGACAGTTTTGGAAATTACCGTAACTCCCCTCCAGCTCCTCTTACGGCAGCCTTACCCACCAACTAGGACAATGCTAGCACTTCACTGGTGGACTTGGAAAGCCAACTGTTTCAGTATCTGAGCACCTTTGATAGCCTAGACCTTCATGTGTGTCAACTCTCGACCATAAAATTTCACAGAAGTTGGGACAGACGAGAGAGGAGGAAGGTGGTGGTGGTGTGAAATAAACTGAAGAGGACAAGGTGCTCAAATTTTATCTGGTGTAGGCACAGGAATTATCGAGCTTCACAGCAGCACAGGAATAGTCCAGTATCCTGCTGTCACAGCAAAATGGGTAGGACTCCAGTGAAATGTGTGTTGGAAGCATGTGTGACAGAGCTGGTGCCACTCAGTGGAAGAAGTAGAGGAAATTTTTGTTCTTCACCCACCTGCAAACATTTTTCCTGAGGTTGTAGCTGTAAAAGCTAGGACAGGGAAGGCTTTCCTGAACAGTTACAGAAGGCCAGGTATTGTGTAACTAACACAAGATTAGGAAAGGCAGAATGGTTGCCATCCACTACTGAAGCCTACTGAAGGCTACTCAGTCTTCAGCTTGACTGAGGAAACAGGCCTGGCTTCTGACTTCTGAATTCGTTTTCAGTTAAGACCTGATAGGTGTCTGCTCTTATTTTCTCCCCACACAGTAGTGAAGTAATTCTTAAGACATGAAGCAATGCTTTCCAATGTCAGGGATGAGGGCTGCAAGAAACTGTAGAGTTGAGGAGCTTCCCTCAGTGGAAGTTTTTAAGAGCAGGTTAGCTGTAAAAATGGCTTACACATGACTGAGCAAGTAGTGAAAGAGAGAGATGGACAGTGAAGAATTTCTCAATGTTTATTTTCTTCAAGGGAGGGATGAGCTGACTCTTCTGAGGAAAAATATCTACAGATTATTTTTGTGCAACAAAATTAAAATATTTTACAATGAGAATCAGGTAAAAATTAGCCTCAACTCCGAACATTCATTTATTTCTTTACTTTTCCCCTTTTACTTTCTTGGCCACAAAAGAGAGACTCTTAAGGGAGTTGTCATGCATAGTTTAACTAGAAAATTTCTTTCTATTTTGGTGCATTATGGCTACAAACAAACTAGGAGGAATTTTTAAGGATTTTTTTGCAAGCAAACTGAAATCAGCAGTGGTGTTAGGTTAATCTATGGGGGGAATAGGATAGGGATAGGTTTTATCTTCTTCCCTACTCCAAATTTAAACATTGTTTCTTAGACAACTGAGCATGCTTGAGCATACTCTATCCTTACAATGCAGGCTATGGGCAAAATAAGAGGGGTGATAACAGAGAGCAGATGGGGATGCTGCCCTCCATGAAGAGCTCACTCTGTGAGCTGTGCTGTTTGTCTCCTTTCATTGCACTCCTCTCTCACTTTAAATCAAGTTTCAGATACAGCAGCCTTGCAGGCTGAAGCCTTGTGTGTATTCACAGCTGTGATCAGACACCTTCAGTTGCACTCCTCAACATTCACTCATCTTGAAGGCTCCAGTCCAGAGGGCAGTTTGGCCTCTGCAGCATCCCTTGCGAATGCAAGCACACCCAAAGCCCAACAGTGCGTTTCCAAGAAGCTACTACAGCGAACCCACTGGGCTTCCTCATCATTACCGACTGCCCAGTAAGAGAAGAAACTGGTTCTGAGAAAGCAAAAAGGTGACAGAAAGAGGAAGAGAGAAAGCAAAAGAAGTTTGATTAGAAGTGAGAGTTAAGGAAAAGAAACCACCATCACACCAGCACTTTGAAAACACCAAGATTATTTGGAGAAAAGTGCTGCTCTGCTGTCAATGTCATGTAATGCAAACACAAATTCTTTTTCTCCTGCTCAGAACAGGGTGGAGCAGGGGCAAAAGGCCACTTTGGAATTACACACAAATATATGACAGCTAAAATCAAAGTAAGGCACATAAACTTTAGAAGGCCACTTCATGTTAATTTTTTTTTATGGCACTAATGGCTTGTTCAGCTGGCAGAAATCCAGGATGCCTTTAAACTTTACTACAGGTCAGGCAGCTATCTTTCAGACTATCCCAGCAGCATGCAGATGTCCATAAACAGAAAAAAATCAAATCTGTCACAGCTCAACTTTTACGGGTGAATGGGGTCTAGATTTAGCCTCAGGATCAGATCTGCAAATCAATGCTGAATTGTTCATGTGAACCATGTTCACTTGCATAAAAGATATTTAATTGCCCAACAACCACAAGAACAAAAGTCCGAAGTCCTAGTTTGCCTGAAGTGATGCCACGAGTATGCCACAGGCACACACCATCTGAGTCCTGGTAAGTCCTCCTACCACAAGACCATCTTTCCCCCTGTGTTGCTAAGCTGTAGTACAAGACAGATTGTGTGTTTCCAGCTTGCTACAATTTGCATCAAAGCAAAGGCTTATAAAAACAGGGGGAGACTGGTGCTTTCTTCACTAGTTCTATTTAAATCTCCTTGACTATCAAATTACTATCAAATATGGCCTTTTCTTAGCCAGCCAATCTCTTCTGTGTGGCCATGTGTGAAAGCAGAGCTCCTGAATCATGTGTGGAGAAGTTTTCCACTATAAGCATCTTCATCCTGCAGTGAAGTGCCATTTCTCTCACCTGGACCTATTTATCCATAGTTTAAACACAGTTTGTTTGCTTTTTTAAAACAGAGTTCTCGGAAGGAAGACTCCATGCAGAAGAAAACCTGTAATGCCTCAGAATGAGCATCCAACACTTTTGCTGTTTGCAAAGACTAGCTGATGCAGCAGTGAGTGTGGGAAACCAGGCAGCCAAAGCAGGCCAGCAAGCAGGGACAGAGCAGGGAGAAAGGACTGGGTTCAGTCACTCATCGGGGTGATGAGCAGTACGTCAGCCATGGACCAGGGACTTTTAAAATCCAGCCCATCTCCAGAGAGAGGGGAGACTTTGCATACGTGTGTGTGTGTCAGTGTGTGTGTGTGCATGCAGTGGTGGAGGCAGTAGTAGTTCACTCAGTCACATAAAATAAAAAGCCTGTCACAAAACTATACATTCAGAAACATATTAATCAGGACCTTTTAAAGGGTGTTTCAGCCTTTATTTTTTTGTTTCTCATGGAGTCATGTACTGTCTCCTTTTCTAGCACAGGTGTGCACTGCCTCACATCAACCAACCTGTGTATCCCAACAAGAGTTTCTGTACAATCCACATGTCTTACCAAGCAAGCAGGTGCTACCAGAAAAGCTGTGATCCTCACACAAACCCAAGTACGGCGATACCACCTGCTTGACTAATTCTTCCAGCTGTAAGTAGCCCTCACTGGGGCCCGTAGGCTCATGGACACTCTGAAATTCAAACATAAAAAGTCAACATTACCCTTAGATAGTTCTGAGTAAAGTTTTTGAGTAAAGCCTTGGGTCTGTCAAATATCTCTGCACAGGAATATTGCAAACATACCAGTAGTCCATTTGGAGAAGCACAGTTGATAATCCCAAATGGAGGTTCAGGTGCCATTCAGGTCAACCTCCTTGTTGAAGTCATAGCCATAACCCTATGAACATCAAGCAGCTAGCTGTCTTTTTTCTGACCAAGGGACAGGAAGGTACAAGGTACACTAACATTGAGGATTTGCACAGTGTAACTACAGTGATAAAATTATAGTGGAGCAGTTCTACCAGGAAACGTCTCTTTGCAGAAAAGCCTTAACACACCTTGGGCAAAGCACTGCTCTTTTCCTAGGCAGGACTGCAGCTTACAGCTGTGAAGATGGTAGATAACACTGACCAATTCAACAGTAATTTCAGAAATCGTTCACTGACTTAACTTCCTGAAAAGCCTCAGTACACTTTTCTTTCTCAAATGCATCACTTTGAGACCCTCTTTGCCCTCAGGATTCTTTTATTAAACTATTTCAGGGAAATTGAGCTAGCATTCAGTATCTCCTGCTATTGCAGTGTGGGTCACTGGGAACATCAGAACAGCAAGAACTCATACAGAAATACCAGCTTAGCCACTTCTCAATTTTTATTGTACTTCAGAAAGTTTCATTCTGTGGCACCCATTATAAGGTATATTGGAGAAGAGCTAAAAGGAAGAGGAACCTAAATAGCCACCTGCAATATGGTATTTTGCAGGACTGTCAGATTGGGTGATAGAAGAAGATAGGACAGCTGGTATATTTGGCTGTATTTGGCATAAAACTCTCTTGAGGTCTGGATAAAGAGGATAGTCCTCACAGAAAGTCTGGGTCTCTTAGGAGAGGCCTTTGGAAGCTATGCAGCATTTTGCCTGCTGCCAAAAGATACTCCTTCTCTCATGGGCACTGCTCAGCATCCCAGCCAGCCAAGGAGCCAGCAGCCACGGTTCATTGAAATTCCACAATCGGCTGTGATGGAGACCCACCCCATCACTGCAAAGCTGAGAAACCAGGATAACTAGGGCACAAAGAGGCATTCAGAGAAGCTGGGAGATTAAAATTTATGTGAAAAAAAGTCCTGAGACTGTTTTTAGCTGGGGAGGAGAGGTACCATGAAAAATACAAATATCAAAGTGCGGAACCCAGCCCTTTCACAGCAGCATCCTTACCTGTTTTCAGGAAAGTTCAGGACATTCAAATTCAGCTTTCATTTCTATATTTACTACTCCCAAATAAGCACATATCATTTCCCCTTCATCACACTCTCTACGCTCCACACACTCTTTTCCAGGGTTAGTATTAGCTCAGTGAGGCTGAGATACCCAAGTGGAGTCAGATGAAGAAGAGCAGAGGCTTCCCACCTGCAGAATTAACAGCATCTGGACAATGGAAGCTGGGAGCTTTGTCTGGACCAGAGGAAGAATTTCTTCCAACTTTACTTTTAGCAAGACCAAGTCTCTGAAGCCAAGGAGCGCAATCTGACGGATAGTCAACTCCTGACCCTAGAAAACACAGAAGGCAAAATCCAAGAGTTGGCAAAGGGAAGTGTGAGCATCACACGAACACATGCATGCACACAGACAGAAAGGGTCTATCCTGCCCATTGCTGCTGTGGAAAAGCCCCTCCCAGCTGCTTAGGTTGATGACTCATGGTACTCTTTGGTTGCTTCCCTCTGTCCCACACAGATTCTGAAATGAGTAACACCTCATCTGAGGTGCCACTAGGTTTGGAGTGAAGGCAAAAATGGGCCTGTATTTCACCAAAAGACTCCGCATACATGAAATCCAACTGACATCCAATTTGGTCACAAACATCCAAAGCCCAGGATGGATGCAGCTTATGCTTTTGCCACTCACAACTGAG